TCTCTCTCTCTCTCTCTCTCTCTCTCTCTCTCTCTCTCTCTCTCTCTCTCTTTCCTTACCTGACTTCTCCAGTTCTTGTTGACTGATGAGAATTTACAATGTAACAATTACCGGCAAAAACAGCCTCTGGTGAAGCTAAAGACGCAAAACGACGTTTATTGTCTGTCAACAAAACATTTCCCAGCGTTAAACATGCGTGGTGTGTGGGTGAGCAATACCCAAGGCCCACAGAATCACGGACATTATGCTTTGGAAAAAAGTTCCTTCAGAATCTGTCTGTTTCCGTGCGTAATTGTAAAACCACTGGGTCTGGAAAAAATTAGTTGTGAAGATGGCGTTCTATAGGAAGAAAAAAATATCTTCGAGGTGGTGGTACAAGGAAAAATTATCGCAAAAGCACTGCAGATTTTGGATTCACCCCATTTTTTAACAACGGGAATTATTAGGCGAAGAATATTTGGGATGCGCTTTGTCAAACAAAACAGGTCGTTCTTCAGCTAGGGAAATCAACATCTCATCATCCATTGTGATGTGTTTTGAGAACACGAAAGCATATGTTTGCCAGTTCTGAGAAAGCGAAATCGCCTGTGCGTAGTGTGTTTGTTGTTCAAGATAAAGAGTGATGTCCCCTTACCGACGGACAATGGGGAAAAAAACGCATGCCATAGGGATTGTTTTGCGTCACTTTCCGTTACTGTCCGTTGAGCGGTGTGTGGGTGCAGATACGGCCGCAATACAATGTTTAATAGGAGAAATCTGTTGCGTTATTTTTTGTCTCGGATAAAGACGGAAAAAACACGTTCCATTCCTTTGCTTTCCGTGGCCTCTGGGCGGGTACCCTTACGGTCAGAAAACACAAAGAGTTGCTACGCAAATTTTTCCTGCGCAAAACTTTCGAGGTCTGTGGGCGGCCAGTATACAGTCAGGCACAGGGAAACGGGAAAAGGGGATAGGAGAAAGTGAGAGAAAAAGGGAAGAGAGAGAGAGAGAGAGAGAGAGAGAGAGAGAGAGAGAGAGAGAGAGAGAGAGAGAGAGAGAGAGAGAGAGAGAGAGAGAGAGAGAGAGAATAGGCCGTAGGCGTTCGTGTTTGGTGACTCCTTCGGTGGTTTGGCTCAATTTATGAGGCTGTTTTCCCCCTCGTGTGTAAAAGTAGGGACG